ACATTGTGCTAAGTTACTGCTGCATTATTTCTTTATCGTTGCCTTTTCCATGATTTTTCAATCCAAGCATTTTGTAGTTATGCTTTGAACAAAATATTTATTAAATCCATGGGATGCATGGATTACCTTAGGGAGTTCTTAGGCTATGCAGCTGAATATTTTTCCCGCCGTTTTGACAAGTGTTGCATTACCTGATGGTCAGCCTGCAGGCGATTCTAACGTTCATTTCTTATTCGACATGAAATTGTAAATATTGTTCTAAAGGAAATTGCTGTGCCAATAGTCCATTTGCGGTTCACAGCATAATTCTCCAACCAAGCAGCTTAGCAGCTTTTTTAGTCGCCACCAGCAAGCTGACCGCCAAATGAATTTGTAGTCCTAGCTCGGATGCAGAAAAACCGCAAGGCTGATTTTAGGTCTTGACATAATAGGGTAGTGTGTTTTATAAAATTTCCAATTTCCTATCTTATTTAGATTTTGAGTTGAATTTTTTGAATTGTCTTAAGAATTTACAATGGAGTATTCAAAACACATTCGCGCATCAATAACTCAAAGCAACAAAAGGTCCTGACATAGCTGCATTCACTTTTTGGGGGCATTCCTGTAACTTCACTAACATAGGATGCATAAACTGTTTGCCCAAGCGATCCCGATATTCTTGGTACTTTTTAATACGTCTTTTTCAATCTCAAGATATGTTTCAGCAAAAAAAAAACGTTTTTTCTGCGCTACTGCTTATCGCCGTCCCTCAGAGGCATGCAAACTTCATGGTAATACCATTATAGGATATTATCCATTGTGACTGCATGGTAACTACGGAACCCAGAAAAAATGAGTCTCGATTCGGCATCATCGATGGGCTCATTGAGTGCACCAGGCGGCATGTTTCCGCGGCGTTCAATGACAATGCGAGCGCCATCAACTGCAGCTGACGATTCGCATTTTCAACCTGTCGCTGTTTATTTATATTCGTTTAATCCGGAATCGTTCGATGACCGAGTGGACGTTGACTTCCATAAACGGGCAACCACCGAAGAACTGATCGAAAAAGTCCTGCAACAGAAGGAAGGCATGCTGTTCTCGCTTATTACCCCTTTCGCTTTGCAAATTTGAAGGCTGGATAAGAGTAAACTTTTTGTACTGAGCTTCAAAACCACTTGTTTTGTTTCTAATGTTGACATTTACCTCATCGAGGTCTCGATGAAGAAGTTACCATTAATTAATAAAAAAAAAATAAAAAAGCATTTTAAAATCCAGCAAACAGACATGGCTTTTAAAAACGCAGGCACTTGGATGCTTTAATTAGCTGCTGTTTCATTGTCCTGTTCCGCCTTGCCACTGGTGCAGATGGCAACTCCGCCATCCTTTCTTATTTTAGACTCCTCTCATCCGCATAATACCATAAAGCCACTTACGCCAAAACAGCCGTCACAGTACCCAAACACTACTGTAGAGCACATAAAGGCCGAGGTGGAAAAAAGACCTCTTGATTTGAATTATATCAAAAGAGTTTGATAGGTATCAAAATTAAGATACTGAAGTTATCAAGGGTGCATGAAGTTAATATCAGTTCCCGAGGAGAATGAGTCAGGCTGGGAAACTTTAAAATTTCCTTCATTTTCCTTCTGAAGAAGGCCGATTTTGCCAAGATCCTCAGAACTTACATAGTGTCGAGATCCTCTCTTTCTGGAAGAATCACAAAGATGTCCACGAGTTTGTGCGTAACATTAGTGATGTTGTAATGAATATTGTAGAATTGGCACAAAAAAATGCGAACGATTATGAATTGTATGAGATTATGGGTACCCTGGATGGGCAGACTTTCAAAGAAAGGAAGCTCGATAGAGGCGAATATCCGGTGGCGGTACAAATGCTTTGGGCACGACCGCTAGGCAGTGAAAACAACGAAGCAACTCCAAAAAATCGTCTGGTACTAAGGTAACTGGACTTGTCAAATGCATAGCCAGAAAATGGATTGCAGGGCGACATCCAAATTACTGTTTTCAAATTTCGCCCCGTCTTCTTGACTTTTTGCCCTTCATCCAGTTAGTCCAGTAGGACTCAAACTAGTTTACTCTTAACATGATT